ACACACTGCCAAACCACAAACCAATGGTTTTGACTTTTAAATCAAACTTGTAACAGTAAAATTACTTTCACTGTCATGGATAAATGTAGGCTTGAGAAAGAATGATTCAAGTCTTGGTGAAAGGACGCCGATCAATTAGATTCTATTGGTTAGGGAGTTGTGCTATTATGCCACAATCCTAGAAAATCTGGCAAATTGTCTTTGGCCTTTTGCTGAAATGTTTATCGGTTTCAAACTCGTCTGTTTTTCACAAGAACTTTCCTCGTTCGGGCTAGCTATGGGGAAACAAAAGTAGTTTGGATCACTGAGGAACAAACGATTTCAACACGTGCTGCTAAAGGAAATACATGATGTCGTTCTATCACTTTATGCATTTTTAAATTTAAAGTGCACTTTATCATAAAGATGCGCCTCTCAAAATAGGTTAGGAATGGTTTCATGCATTCAGCTTGGGTTATTTGGGCTGAATGGTCAACTTTGCATACAATTTCCACACATTTTCAGCGGATACATCGATCACCGGACGCAAGATACCCCTTCAAGAAAACAACCGCTCACCATGGTTTCCTCCGCCAACTGAAACGCAAAACTACCACATTTGCAAAATTACTTGTTATTCAGAGATCAGCACGTAATTTGTGCGAGCAAAAGTAGCAGTTTGTCTCACAGACATTTTGATATCTACAGTATGTAAATTGAAATTCATTTTTGACTTCATCATCGTTGTAACACATTAAAGACTAGCGTGTACAGCTGATGAGCTGTAGCTAAACTTACCCGGAGCCATTTTATTTCTATAAAAGTTCTCTCTGAGTTAGTTTATCAACGGAACGTTTTAATGCACAAGATCATGTCTGTGACATTGAGGCTTTTTACCATAACTCATTCTCTTCTCTGAAGCTGCCTTTCAATCACGTCCTTATATGTATTCGTCCAGACTATAAAAAAGCCGTTCTGGATGATTGGGGGCTGTGGTTTCGCCTGGCCTTACCGGGTCTGCTGATGATCTCGTTGGAATGGACTATCTTCGAAATTGGAAGCGTCATTGCAGGTACAGAAAGTAGTGCAATATGTTCAACACTTGGAGGTGTGAACTTTTAGCAATGCGTAAATGACTGCCCGCACACATGTGTTCATGCATTCTTGTTTGCAAGACCTTATTGCTACTTGGTTGATCGAACTACCATTAGATTTTGCGTGTAGTTCCAATCTCTGAAAGTTTTGTTTGTTCATCTCTTTATTAGTTTGATTATTTTTCTTTCTGGTTTTTCACGCTATGCTTGGCGTCTTTGTTTTGCACAAATGCTCAGCTCGGCGAAAACGCTGTGACCTTTTCCCACCACAACGCAGCTACAAACGGTATAAACAATGAAACTCAGTTATTCGCATTTAACACACATTTACTTGATAGTATTAGTGTGGAATAAATTTTACTGATTTGAACTGACCACTGTTTGAGCTCAATCTTTTCAATTCAATGTTCAATGTTCTTCAATTAGAGGCAGAGGGTAATATCCCGTATGAGCCTCATCACCACAGACTCGAAGATCTCATTCATGATAGATATGCATACCACATTGTTCGCAGGACGCTATCGAGCTTCCTCTTGAACATCTTATCATTGACCTCTTCCACCACGTC